GAGTAAGCTAAGGAGGGAGAGGGGGGTGGGGGTGTGACGGCAGTGTGCTTGGATTCGATGATTTCCGCACGAAATCATCGATGATTTCCGCACGAAATCATCGAATTTCGCCGCCTTCACGCGTGAGACCACACACAGCCACATCGCTCGCCCACCGATTGAACATTCATTTATTTAGAACTGGATTTTGTGTGTGCTTCGTTTGTTGTCTTTCACCACCCACACCTCCGGCCGGCTACGTACGGTGCGAAAGAAGTTGAACGTACATACTCGTGTAGTGGGGTTTTCTCCGGTTTGCTACCGCACCCAATCACACGCATTCATGGAATTGGCCAATCGTACCTCCCGCAGGACCCTCCCTAATACTTCTAACGACTCAGCGACGCTTTCCCGAGTAGAGGCATCAATGAATATTGCATTGTGGTGGAGCGGTGGTAGAGTGGTTAGCGCACTGTGCGTTGGAGTCGGTGAACCCACGGCCGCGGCTAACGTTAGTTGACGTTACCTAAAATTCCCTAATTAGCCTCCTGCTGCTGCTGCTACCAAGCTTTAACAATGCATATTGTTTGGGTCTTTCGGTAAAGTCACGTAGATAGGTTCAAAGAAAATAACAAAAAACTACGACGTTTCGATCGCAACACCATTATCCTGATGACCACCGCTTGTGTTGCGATCGAAACGTCGTCGTTTTTTTTGTTATTTTCTTTGAACCTATCTGCGTGACTTTACCGAAAGACCCAAACAATATGAATTCCTGCAGTCACGAAAGCTTTGAGTCAAGATTTAACAATGCAGTTGTTAAGGTTTAACGACGCGGTTGAGTCGCTGCTGACGGCATGCTACGAATGTCACGCCTCTCGCTGCCTCTCAACACTTTCCACTGATACCGAGACGCCGCTCCAGCCGCTAATCCTGACGCCTCGTTCGTGACCGTGATGTTTTCTTGTTCATGTTTTTGTTTTTTGTTTGTTTCGGGTGTACCCGATTCAAGAGCCGAATGGCTCACAGGGCTTTACCTAATAAATTAACTTTGAACCGTCGACGACCGGCCCAGGTCACGGGATTTTTTTTTTACTTTCGTGCAATTCATCTTCTTGGTTCTTTCGGTAAAGTCACGTAAAATGGAAATAATAAAATAAAACATAATAAAATAATTCTAACGACGTTTCGGCCACAACGCAAGCAGCCGTCCTCAGGTGAAGAACAGGTCTGTCGAGAAGACAGAGTCTGAATGACACGCCCCAGGCTTGGAGCGTCTATTTAAGCTGGGAGGGAGGAGGAAGAGCGCCTTGACAAAATAATTTGCATATCAAGAGGAATTTTAGCATATTTATGGGAAATGCATATATGCAATTCCCAACTGCGTCCGCTAAGCGGCGCCACCACGCATTTGCTCGAAGCGTGGTGAAGATTTATTGATTGTATGAAAAAATAAGAATTGGATTTTACCCTTTATGGAAATAAAACAGTTGTTGAGGTGTTCAAACGCCGAATAGAAACCTCTTTTGCTTAGAACCGCGTCTGCATTAACCACACACAGTCCTCGTGGTGAACATGCACACGAAACTTGCTCTGATAATAATTATTATACTGGTAGGAACCTCCTGGTTACATCAGCCCACAGGGGATTATTGTGCCCATCCGTCCGTCGTGCAATCAAAAATGGGAGGGGTGGGGCTGGGTGGAGAGGGGAGGGTTGGGAGGGGCTGGGTGGGGTGGGTGGGGCTGGGTGGGGGGTGGGAGGGGTGGGGCTGGGTGGGGAGGAGCTGGTCACCCCGTGGTGCCCTTATAAGTTGTATTGAAGAATGCGATGAGTGTTTGTGTCATCCACCGTCAAGGCCGAGATGTGAATGCCTCGTGCGTTGATGTTCTCGTCACTTTGAAGTCGGGGCCTATATGCGGGCAACGTTGCGTCAAACGACCCCGTTGTCTGGACAAAACGCTCTTGGCGAATGGTTTACTTGACGCTGAGGAATACACCTCTCCCCGTGGTGGAACGTTTGGGGCACTTTGCACGAGCGGAGGACGGAGACGTTGCTGGAGAGAGTAACAAAAAAAAAACACCACCAGCCAAATGTATTTTGAAATCCCAATGGGATGAATGTTCTCAACCGAGTAGTATCGGTGTCGTCTTTGGAACTTGCGTGGTGTGTTTAGTTCCTTGTCTTTCTCCCGCACCTCAGATGAGCGTCGTTGGCTACGTACGGTGCGACAGAAATTCAACATCCATACATCGCGCTCAATAAAGAGGTCATCATCAGCGATGATAAATGCACATCGGGATGAAGGCGTCGTCCCGAGATATGTTATGATCCTTGCGATGTAAATCATTCACCTCTCCACGATCTCATTCAATTGCTCCATCTTTTCACCAGACGCGTCTTCTCGGGCGATCTCCACGGTTAGCGATGAACGAGACTGGCGACGGAATGGCAGCAAAAGGAGGGAAAGGCGTCCGGTTCAGAAGGGGGGACCCCCCCCTCCCCACCGCGGAGATGGAGTGAGGCGACCAGTTCACGTGCAGGAGTTCAATGGCGTGGTAGCGGTAGTGGAGTTTGCGCTTTGGCGGCGGCGTGATGCGTTACGAAAGTGCTCTGTGATGTGTGTGTATGTACACGTGCGCGTATGTGTTAGTGCATGTGTGTGTGTGCATGTGTGTGCATGTGTGTGTGTGTGCACACACACATGGTGTAGCGGTTAGCGCGCTGCGCTATGAACCTGGCGACCCGGGTTCGATTCCCGCTCACGGCTAACACCAGTGACGATTATCTGAACCGGTCCTGGGCCTCCCCTAGGTCGACTCAGCCTTAAATGAGTACCTGGTGCGGTGTGTAAACATCGCCACTAGGGAGACAAAGGCGGTCGGGCGTGGTGCTGGCCACCCACCCCCTCGTGTACCGTTCTGGCCTTCATAGGTGCTCGCTAACAGCACTTGCCCCTACAGTCTGTTCAGGCTATACGGGGGATCTTTGTGTATGTACACGTGCGCGTCTGTGTTAGTGCATGTGTGTATGTGTGTGTGCATGTGTGTGTGCATGTGTGTGTGCATGTGTGTGTGCATGTGTGTGTGCATGTGTGTGCATGTGTGTGTGTATATGTGTGTGCACACGTGTGTGGTGTGTGCTGTGTGATTGGCCTGACAGAGCGGGCACTTGTGTGTGTGTGTGCGCACGTGTCTATGTGTCAAACGGTAGTGCAGCGGTAAGCGCGTTGCGCTACGAACCCGCCGACTCGGGTTCGATTGCCGCTCACGGCCAACACCAGTGACGATTATCTGAACCGGTCATGGGCCTCCCCTAGGTCAACTCGGCCTCAAACGAGTACCTCGTGCGCTGTGTAAACATCGCCACTGGGGAGACAAAGGCGGCCTGGAGTGGTGCTGGCCACTCATCCCCTCGTCGTGTCGCGCCGGCCTTCATAGGTGCTACTCGCAAACAGCACTTTCCCCAACAGTCTGTTACGGCTATACGGGGGATCTTTGTATGGGTGTGCGATGTGTTATTGGGGTGACACGGCGAGCACGTGTACGTGTGTACGTGTGTGCGGGGGGGGGGCTAAGGGAGGAATCACCCCAAGCACACTGCCTCCATTCATCAATCTGCCTGCCTCTCTCTCTCTGTCCCAGCGCGGTCACTTTGCCATTCACAAGCGGTCGCCTCCACAGACGTCACTGCCGTCACAGCGGCACAAGTTGCTTAGAGCCCAACGAGAGAGAGAGACTTTTAAACAACTTTTATTGCCGCCAGCAGCAAAAGCACTGGAGGCGATTTCAATATTAAATACACAAAGTCACCAGAAAACAAAAGAAAACAAACGTTACAAATCGACGCGCTGTGGCGCTGAAAGGACCGCGCACACTACAAAAGAAAAGCCACGTGGTGGCTGTGGGGTTCTCGCGGACGCCACGGTGACGAGCGAGCGCTTCAGAGAGAGAGAATCAGCAAACAGCCCCGTTGATGGGCGTCGCGCACGCACGAGGCCTGGGGGTAGGAGGAGTGGGAGCTGCTTTTGGACTCTCTTTAGAACGTAAATCGTGGTTGGGGGACGACGCTGCATTGTGGGGGATGTCCAGCATTTCATAATAATCATCAGCCACGCTCAATCGACAACGAAAAAGTGTCGATAATAACGGTCATACCCGCTATGAAGACGGGTCATTATCGCAAACGTCAACAACTCGATATGTTAGTTTAACACGTCGGCTTTCGCGAGCAATATTATCCACAGCCAGGGGTTCTTTGGGGGGGTTAGTACGCGTACATCTTCAAATACAGATCGCGTAAATATATTGGGACTCTTAAAAAAATGTTTACGCAATCTAACCCCTCCAAAAAACAACTTTAATATGGATATTGTATGTGTTGTTTTTCTTCCTTTTATAGCGGTGTTATTGACGAATATGTTTACTCAATCTGGTTTTGATTTATTTGATTTTATACCTACGCGACTTTACCGCAAGAACCAAAAAGTATGAATATGTTTACGTTTTATTTATTTACTTTAATAACACTGGTCAATACACTTTTTCTGGCATAAGGTATTCCAACGGTTTTATCACACCAGGTTTTTGAGATATCAAATATAGCATTTTCAATAAAAACTGCAGAAGAAAAATATTAAATAAATGTGGATATCTACACAAAATGATATTATAAACACACTATCCTAAAAATACAGCACCATATTTTAACACTAAAGCAGTCACTGACTCGTAACAACTTGCAATCATAAGTGACAGAGTTAATTTCGGGTAAAATCAATAAAAATGGGGTATGCCGATAGCATAAAAATGAGATCAGATTTGGAATCAGCACCCTGAAATTAGTCTCGAACAGCTGCAAAAGTCCAGGCCAGAAAAAAAAGTTTTTTTTTGTTGACCAGTGTAATGACTCAACGCTCTTTCCCCGCTGCATCTACAAAACTCGGTCAGTGGCGATTCAATCTCCGGCTTCACCCCCTAACCCCGCTCCCCCCCCCTCCCCCCGCTGCTCATCCCCCAGGGATGCGCAAATCGCCAGGAGCTGCAAGTGGCGGTGCGTCAGCTGCAGCAGTCGCTGAGCGCGCAGGAGTCGCGCTGGGCCGACGGGATGAAGCAGCTTCGCAAGCGGCTCTCGGGGCTGCAGCAGACCGTGAGCAGGGGGTCACGGCCCAGAGCAGGTGAGAGAGAGGGGTGGGGGCGGGGGGGGGGTGAAGAGGGGGGAGGTCAGAACAAAGGCAAAGATCACCCGTGTAGCCTTAACAGCCTGTTGGGGCAAGTGCTGTTAGCGAGCAGCACCGATGAAGGGTGGCACTGTGGGCACACGAGGGGGTGTGGGTGGCCAGCACCATGCCCGGCCGCCTTTGTCTCCCGAGTGGCGATGTTTACACACCGCTACGCCAGGTACTCATTTGAGGCCGAGTCGACTTAGGGGGAAGCCCAGGACCGGTTCAGATATTCGTCACTGGTGTTGGCCGTGAGCGTGAATGGAACTCGGTTCGCCAGAGTTTCGCAGCCCACGTCACGAATCTCAACGCGACTTCCCCATCGATACGATTTAGTTCTTGAAGCAGGTCTCAGCAGGCGCGGCGAAACGTCGTACAAGCCGCCGCACACAGCACGCGGTTCAACCGTGAAACGTATCAGAGAGTCAGGTACCCTCACCGCCATCACAATCTCCATCACTCCCTGTACCATCACGACCCCCACCACTAGCCCTATCACTAGAACCATCACTCGCCCCTATGGATTGCCACGAACAATCCCGCGTCTCAGTGGCATCTTGACGACTGTCTCCTTGTTGTTGTTGTTCGGCCCGATGACTGACGTTTCACTGCACGTGCTGGGATCTTCTGCGGGACATCTGAAACGTCAGACATCTCGCCGAGGAACACGGAGCACACACACACATCGGAGAGCCGCACAGCGCGACTGACAATGTTTTTGTTTTTTTGCTACGCTCACACTTAAGCGAGTACGAACATTTTGGTGAGGGCTCTTCCGTGTCTTCGCCGTGTAACGATGGCGATGCACGTTGACCCCCAACACATCTGCTCGTTTCGTCAAAGATGGGAAAGAGAGAGAGCCCGTATACTTCTGACGAAGAAGAAGCCCTTTATTTATTAAGAGTGCGTATTTGTGATTTCTGTGCTGCCCATAAAATAAAAAATAAAAAATGTGTAGCTGGCAAGCGGAGTTCATTCCGGAGTCACCAGGGTGTGAAGCCAGCACCAGGCGTTTCGAGAACATCGATATTTGCAGCTGAAACCACACTGGCCGTGCGTGTGTTGTGTTTGGATACAAAAAAAAAGACGTGAACACGCACGGCTCCACACGAATCATTTCCAGTTCCGTAGCGCGGACAGGTACAAAGAGCGAATGGACTCCTCCTGTCAAAAGTTGATCCAACTTCACAGCTGTGATTTGTAACCACGTGGGCCCCCTCCAATACGCGTGTTTTCTTGGTGAATAAACCAAAAAATTCGCGTGATTTTTGGCGATTTTAGTTTTTTTGCTAAAGTCTACTCCATGGTCACCAGGGCTGGGGGTATAATGACCCATCGGCGATATCACGGTGGCTTTTTGTTCAGCGATTTGAGTCGAGACGCGAGTCGGGGCGACGTGTCTGTAGGAGGGTGGGTAGGAGCTACTCGGAGCTGGGCGTTCTTACGAATCTCCCCTTCGTTGCACGTTCTGCATCTGTCTCTATTGGTTGCTCTGTCTGGCCGTTGCATGAGCGCCGTGAGGGTCATGAACAGACGCGCGGACAAATCACCTGGCAGTGCGTCCGATGGGCCGTTAGTTCTCTTCCTTCTTTGTTTATGTATCCGGGAGAGCCACAGTGAGTTCGTAGGAATCTGTATTAGGAGGGGTCCTGCATTGAGATTTTTTCTTCTACATTAATGTCACTTCAACCGATGAATGAAGAGTTGTGTTTACTAGGCAAGTCGGAGGGAACCCGAGGCACCCAGAAAAAACCCACACGCGCGCGAGGGGCCAACGCACAATCCCCGTGCAGATGAAAACAGATGGCGATTCGTCCTCATGCTGTACTGACTTCTCCTGGGGAACCAGGGTATGGCATCTCGTCGACGTCCACAGAAACGGAGTTTGACAACATTTGTGCGGTGATTCACCAACCCTGGCTGCTGCCTCCACAGTGTTGGGTCACAGGTCACGTGCAGCAAAGCTACCACTGCTAAGAAGCTAAGCAAAAATGACACCTAGGTATTGCTTGGATGGGCGACCGCCGTGCATGCCAGGTGTTATAGGCTACGTTGTGGGCAGCAGTGGGAAGGGCAGCAACATGCATTGTTGTACTCTACTTCTATAGCCCCATGCCACTGATGTGCTGGAGCCAGTGGTGGAACATTCCCATGGCAAGAAGCGGTCTAGCTGCTGCTTGTTAGTCAACCCTTGTTGTTGTTGTTGATGGTGATGGTACTGCGAATGTTGTTTCTGTAGTCGCTACTCCTCATAATAACGATGATGACAAGTAGGACAATGATGATGAAGAGGATGATGGCCATCATAACGATGATGTTGATGATGAACATGTCTAAGATGATGACGATGATGGTGTTGACTTTGATCATGAATATGACGCTGACGTCATCAGGCTTGACGAGGCTTGCTGTTTGACCCAGGAAGGCCTCACTCGAGTCTCAGGAGCGTTATGCCCAGTTGTCTCAGTAGGTGAGGATGTGTCTGCCGTTGGTGCTGTGTAATCCAAATTGAGTAAATATGTGGCTAGCTTTTGACCAATACCAGTCACGTTGTCCGTGCTGTTAATGTCTTATTATTTTGAATTTATTATTTAAAAAAATAAATGTATTTTATTATCTGTTATTTTAATTTTATTTTCGATCTACGTGACTTTACCGACAGAACCAGGAATATATATTTGCGGGAGAAAAACAGAGAGCCCAGAGTAAACCCCACGCAGAACAGGGGGGGGGGGGGGATAGAGCCATCCCTAGGTCACGGTGAATCGGAGGGACCCCCAAAGGCCACCGCGCTTCAGCTTCGCCGTGTCAGTTTGTAATTCTTCCCGTTCAGTTTGAGCGCGTTGGAGACCCGCGCGTTGGAGACCGGCGCGGCGTGGGATTTGCCCCGAGCCCCCCCACCTCCAACCCCCCCCCCGAAGCCCTTATAGACGGACCTGCAGGGAGAGAACATATAATATCCGCAGAGAAAGCAGCCCGAGTCGAACCCAGGAGATTTTTGCTGTGAGGCGTTACCACTGTGCCACCCTGATAACGACGATGATGATGACGACGACGATAATGTCCCGCACCTCCGATTAGCACGGTTGCCTACGTACTGTGCGAAAGAAGTTCAACAAATACACGAAATATTCCATGACGACAACGGTGAAGATGATGACGACGCCGACGACGATGATGACGATGACGACGCCGACGATGATGACTGTGGTCACTGTGCGCTCCCCCCCCCCCCCAGTGGCCTCGTGCCCGCGGCTGGAGGCCCCTCCCAATGGACATCGCCTCGGATCGAAGCACTCGAGTGGCCACGAAGCGCACTTCGTGTGCGACACGGGCTTCCTGCTCACGGGCGCCAGCACGCGCCTCTGCCTCGACAACGGCACCTGGAGCGGAGAGGCGCCCTACTGCCACAGTCAGTGCCGTCGGGAACACACCTGCACCGACAGACCACGTGGTCACCCCCGCCAGAGCCCCACCACAGACCACGTGGTCACCACCACTACCTGCACCGCCAGAACCCCACCACAGACCACGTGGTCACCACCGCTACCTCCACCGCCAGAGACCCACCACAGACCACGTGGTCACCACCGCTACCTGCACCGCCAGAACCCCACCACAGACCACGTGGTCACCCCCGCTGCCTTCATCGCCAGAGCCCCACCACAGACCACGTGGTCACCACCGCTACCTCCACCACCAGAACCCCACCACAGACCACGAGGTCACCACTAACCGCTTGTACTACCACCAGCAGCACTAACAGCGTCCACGTGGTCAGCGCTACTGCTGCCACCACCACCAATACCACCACCGTCGTCGTGATCACTACCACAGCCAGCAGTGCCAACAGCATCCACATGGCTGGGATACGCCGCGGTCGTTCACGAAAGGAATGGAACAAAAACTGCAAAGTGCGCAACAGAAGCACTGAGAGAGACGCGTGCTTGGGCTTACACTGAGAGACAGAAAGAGGAAGACGTGGATCCGAGATCCTATGCAGGTTAAAGGCGTGATTTCGACGTTGGGTAAAAAAGAAAACGGGCAGAAATACGTCACGGTTAGAAGGGATGATCGATGGCCGATGGTCAAAGACAATGACAGAGTGGGCAGCCGAGGACCGGGACGCGTTCCAGAGAAGAGGGCCACCGTTAAGAGATGGAGCAACGAAATCGGCTCGTGTACAGGTGCCGGGGGGGGGGGGTGGATTGTTGAATTTAGAAACGTAGAATTGAAGGCGGCGAACCTTGGTTGCGTTGGGGGGGGGGGGGGGGGGGAGACCTTCATCCAGCAGTGGATTGCTCGTGGCTGGGGATGGAGACGATGCTGATGATTCACGTCTGATCATTTGTGTCTGCACGCGAGCTATGCGCGGCGAGGAGGCACCCAGTGCCGTGATAGCCAAGGTACGCTCCAAGTTCCAAGGCTGCGAAGTCTTAGACGTGGACATCAGACGCATTCCACTCATAGTCATTTTCATCCTGGCTTTACATCGCATGTGCAAGTCATTCATCACATTATTTAAATCACTCCCGGTGTTTTTTTTTTTTTAGTATGTGTGTGTGTGTGTATATATAACATTCTTGGCATCTCTTGCAAATGATATTTTATACACACCGGGACGGCGAAGAAAGACTGAAACAATGTGTTATGAGAAAATGCCTCTCTCTACGTGAGCGAGCGGTGAGTTTTACAGTTAGCAGAACAGCCGCAAAACATTCCTGTAGGAAACAAAAACACCCCACAAAAAACTCCCATAGAGACCCAACGATTGACTCAGAGACCCACGTAAGTTCATAGAGACCCAGATACTCACATAGAGACCCACATGCGTTCATAGGGACCTCAGAGGCTCGCGCAGAGACCCATAAACTCACTTAGAAACCCAAAGACTCACGAAGAGGCCCACGGACTCGCATAGAGACTCATCGACTTGATAGAGACCCATAGACTCGCATAGAGGCCCGTAGACACCTACAAGGGAACTGGAATTCGTTGGCAGTGGCTTTACCATCCGCGCCTTCTTCACGAGCACCATCGCCACCTTAAGCGTCGTTATTCTAACGACTCAATAATCTCGATTTAAAGCTTTCGTGACTGCAGGGATTCATCTTCTTAGTTCTTTCGGTAAAGTCACGTAGAAGGGAAATAATAAAATAATAAAAATAAAACATAAAATAATTTTCACGACGTTTCGGCCACAACGCAAGCAGCCGTCCTCAGGTGAAGAACAGGTCTGTCAGAAAGACAGCGTCTGAATGGGCACCACCAAGCTTGGCAGCGTATATTTAAGCTGGGTTGGAGGGGGAAGAGCGCCTTGACAAAGGAATTTGCATATCAATAGGAATTTAGCATATTTATGGGAAATGCAGATATGGGATTAGTCACTACTTGTGGAATGCGTAGGAGGTGGGGGTGGGGGGGACTCAATAATCATCGTAATAAGAATCGTCATTAATAGTCAGTAGTCATCGTAATAATCAACATTATTATTATTATTATTATATTCGTACAAATTATATTAATGGCATCACGCGCTGCCTTCAAAGGAGAGCAATAATGGTTTGGTAATAGTTTAGTCCTGGTTCGGTAGAGGTTTAGTAATGATAATTGGTTCTTTACCCTTCTATCTGGCAACAAAACTGACACCTTTTTGCAAGGAGTCATGTTTGCATAGACCGCAATACCTGCAGTCATAATACAAACAAAAGAACATAACTCTGATAATGTGCACTGTCCTTGAAGTTGATTGGTCCACACCCGAGACAGCTTTCCTTCGAGCCTAGTCTCATATGGGTTGGACCAGATGACGCCAAAAGGCGCACAACTCAAGGACAATGCACCATCAGAGTATGAGAGCTCGGGGCAAGTGTAGATGCTTGCCCCGAGCTCTCATACTCTGATGGTGCATTGTCCTTGAGTTGTGCGCCTTTTGGCGTCATCTGGTCCAACCCATATGAGACTAGGCTCGAAGGAAAGCTGTCTCGGGTGTGGACCAATCAACTTCAAGGACAGTGCACATTATCAGAGTTATGTTCTTTTGTTTGTATTATGACTGCAGGTATTGCGGTCTATGCAAACATGACTCCTTGCAAAAAGGTGTCAGTTTTGTTGCCAGATAGAAGGGTAAAGAACCAATTATCATATTTTTACTGGCAAATGAGGTCCCCATAGGTTTAGTAATGTTTGTTTTTCTGGTTCGGTAAAGGTTTAGTAATGGTTTGGTGACGGATCGGGAATGGTTCCGTAATGGTTTGGTTCTGGTTTTAACTTCTGCCGTGAAGCAGATAGGCGCGTATTTTGTTATGCAACTGATGCCAAGGGGAAAACATTTAGCTGTTTTTTTATCGCTAAGTGTTTTGCAGAACCCTCGGATCAATTTGGCCAAAATTAGTTTTATTGGATACGGCCCTAATAGCAACACAAATCAGCACGGTTTATTTACGTACGGTGCGAAAGAAGTTCAACAAACATACATACAACGTTGCACTCATTACCTTAGAATAAAAGTTTTGCTGGCTGGCTGGCTGACTGGAGGGATGAACGGTCACAACCACAGGACGCGTGCGTTGCGAGTTACTGTGCTCGCAAACGTAATTTATCTTGGATTATCGTTACGCGGGTTTGCCACGACCCCCTGCTACGGACGGACGGACGGACGGACGCGTGACCCGCACTATTTTCAGGTCAGGGTTCGGTCGCGGGGGGCGGGGGGTTCGTGAGATAGAAGCTGCGTGGCTGCTTTGACGGCGCGTGGCGACACCTTGAGCGCGCGGGCACCTGGAAACTATGTGGCGCGCGCTCTCCATGGTGAGCTGTGCAGGAATGCGGCGGAGGCGCCGGCTGCAGGGAGGGGAGGAAGATTGTTCGCTTGCGAGCTGCGATCTTGTCGTAAATCTGAGCCAGGAGGTCGAATAGCCCCCGCTGTGAGATTCTGGACAGATGAGCGGTCCACCACCATCACTGCCGCAACCACCATCACCACAGCCGCAACCACCACCACCATCACCAAGGCCACAACCACCATCACCACAGCCGCTAACCACCACCATCACTACCACCATCACCATGGCCGCAACCACCATCACGGCCGCAACCACCACCACCATCGCAAACACCCTTATCACCACCGCTACCACCACCACCACCACCACAGCCGCAACCACCACCACCATAACCACCCTTATCACCACCAGAGCCAACAAAGACAAAGATCCCCCCCCCCCTTCTCCGATTTCGTGTCTCCAATCAACCCTGTGCTCAATTTATCCACTTTTCTATGCATTTGTCAATACCATTCATGTCCGAGTTTTGCAGCAGAGTTTGATTAAGCAGGCGAACTCCGGACTGGTTTTGACTTTCTTAGTTTCAACAGCAGAGCATGGCCGGTTCCTGGTTTCCCGAATACGACTGCTCAGGTTTTCCGTGTCCTTGCGTGGCTTCAGTTCCTGACTGAGCTTTCCAGAACGTGCGGCGAAACGTCGGTACAACACCCCAAAAAAACACACACAAAGACATCCGAGACCTGTTGTCGAACACTGTGAGCAAGATGTCGCACACAATGCTGCGTGCTGTTGCTGATGATGTGTATTGTTGTCGTTATTATTACTTCGTTTAATTACACTGGTCAACAACAAAAAAACAGTTTTTTTCTGGCCTGGACTTTTGCAGCTGTTTTAGACTAATTTCAGGGTGCTGTTTCCAAATCTGATCTCAGATTTGCTCTATCACATCTCATTTTATCCTATCGGCATACCCCATTTTCATTGATTTTACCCGAAATTAACTCTGTCACTTATGATTGCAAGTTGTTGCGAGTCAGTGACTGCTTTAGTGTTAAAATATGGTGCTGTATTTTTAGGATAGTGTGTTTATAATATCATTTTATGTAGATATCCACATTTATTTAATATTTTTCTTCTGCAGTTTTTATTGAAAATCCAATATTTGATATCTCAAAAACCTGCTGTGATAGACCAGATTTGGAATCAGCACCCCAAAATTACCTTAAAACCGTTGGAATACCTTACGCCAAAAAAAGTGTGTTGACCAGTGTTATTCAGTGAGGCATCTTTTTCTCTGCCGCTTTTTCACAGTGGTTGCTCTGTGTAATCCCAATTGATTAGCGTGCAGGGCACTTTTTTTCGAATTGTGCCAAATGTTGACCTTGGTGCCGGCACACAACGGCCTTCTCTTGCGAACTGCGTCACTCGATCTTGAGCGACCACCGCGAAGTGGACGTCGCGTAGTGCTACGGTTAAATGCTACCCGCGGTATTAACCGGGGCGGCCGCTGGAATTCGATGGGTGAATCTTCGCGACAACAAGCGGTGGACGCGTGGCCTGCTGGGCCACGTCACCACCGCAGCTCCCTGATCATGACGATGGTTGTCGAGGGTGATGTTGGAGCGGCTGACCACGTGTTCATCGTCGTCAGGGCACGATGGTGGTGAGATGGTAACTACCTTGCCTGGTATGCAGGAGGTCGTGGATCGTGTGGAATTTTCTTCGGGTCCTCCAGAATTTCCCTCCACATTCAGAATCAACGTCACGCGTTTAAAGAATGTGGCTGCTGCTCTAAATTTCCACATGATGAGCCACTTCGTTGAGCTATCATTTGTGGCCAGGTCGCTATTGAAAAATAGCTCAGCGGTGGGCCTTACCTTGTAAAATTAAAAAATAAATGAGAGATAATCAATGCAATTCTGGCAAAATCGCTTGATGAAGCTGGTTGTAATTACCAGCGAAACACCCTGGTACTCAAATTGTAAATGTTGTTGGGTTTACTCTCCAACACACCGGTGTGCTGAAACGGTAACATAATTGGCGCGTTTAATTTGCGTGACAAACTTGACTGATTGGCTGTGTCGGGTGGCAGCGGGTTTAACGACACATTTATACTTAAACGATCTAACCCCCCGCCCAAACCTCCCCCCCCTTCATTATGAATCGATGCACCCACCCCCTGCCTTCTCCGCACGCAACGCGCCGGGGACAGACGTCAACGAGTGCGCGAGCAGCCCCTGCCAGAACGGGGCCACGTGCGTGGACGACATCAACCGCTACGCGTGCCTCTGCCAGCCGGGCTGGGCGGGCGCCGCCTGCCAGCACGCGACCCTGCCACGTGAGAGACTCACTCACTCGCTCGCATCCTCACCGACGCCCTCCGTCCTCGTCGTCGTCGAACAAAGGCGGCGGTCACCCGCGTCGCGCGGCGCTTTCAGATGCGCTTTCTGCGGCCGTCTGGAACGCTCTTCCTTCTGATGATAGGAAGCCGCTGGAGCCGTGTACTTTGAAATAATTTTGGATTGAAAACTAATTTCTTGAGAACTGCTTTTTGTGTTTAGTTTGTTGTCCGCGCCCCGCACCTCCGATTGGCACGGTTGGCTACGTACGGTGTGAAAGAAGTTCGACATGCGTGCATACACCATCAGCAGCACCTTCAGGGTCAATATAAAACTCGGTACTCAGTTTACGCAAAGGCCACGGCAGTCGTCCCATGGATAAACTGTCCCCGCCATAGGAGAGTGGAATTTCCGCCGCGAACCGAGACAAGCGTCGTACCAATGCCAATCACGGGTGGCTCAAACTGGGATTCGAACCCGGGCCCTCAGTGTCCCTGGCACGGCCATTATAAATCCCACCGCGAGCCATCGACCGATATATTATTTCGTCCAAACGTTCACACGCCCTCATTACCCTCACGTTGTACGTTAGGGGCAAGTGCTGTCAGCGAGCACCTATTAAGGCCGGCATGGCGCATGGAGCCGGTGGTGTGACGAGCGCGCCCCAATGCCTTCATCTCGCGAGCGATGAGAGTTACCCACCGCACCGCCCTCGCCCGGCCACCTTCTGCGCGCAAACAGTTCGCGCGATTACTCGACCCCGCCGCGCGGTTCTTCTTTGAGTCGTTGCTTCGGCTGTGCGGGTGGCGGGTGACAGTGGGGGGCCCCCCGTCCCCGCTGGAGGCGCCCCCCCCAGGGAACACGTTCAACCGCACGCCTCGCTGCGCGGCGGTCGAAGGCTCCCAGCACTGCAGCTGCGAGCCGGGCTTCCACCTGAGCGGGCGCGCCAACAGCCTGTGCCGAGGTGAGCTCATCGTCAGCGTCATCATCATCAGCATCATCGGCATCATCGGCATCATCAGCGTCATCATCAGCATCATCATTAGCATCATCAGCGTCATCAGCAACATCATCAGCAACATCAGCATCATCATTAGCATCATCAACGTCATCAACAACATGAGTGTCATCATTAACATAATCAGCGTCATCATCAAAATCAATATTACTAGCATCATCGGCGTCATCGGCATAATTTTCAGCGTCATCAGCATAATCATCGGCGTCATCAGCATCATCAGCGTCATCATCATCAGCATCATCAGCTTCTTAATCATCAGTGTTATCATCGTGCCTTTACAACCCCAACCACCACCGCCATCATCATCAGCAGCAACAGTAGCATCGGTATAATTATTTCCACCATTAGAAAAATCACTACAAACAGCACTACCTACTTATCCGTGTCTTACCTTCTGTCTCGTTGGTTGCGTCTCCTTTCTTTCTATCGGCTTAAACGTATCAATTCGCCGCTGTTTGAAGCCGAGGGAACAGTTGCACAACTCGGTCGCATGTTGCGCAACTACTCGCTCAGACTCGGAACACGGCAGTTGCACGGCAATGGTGACGTTCTCGGATCAATTTTGGTTTTTTTTCATCCACGAATCATTCTCCACAATTCTGCCCGTCGCCTGACGAGGCTGGCTGCAATTGCCGGCGAAACGTCGCACTCGAATTGTAAATGGTTGCGGGTTTACTCTCCCGACACACCGGCACGCTGAACTCGTAACTAATTATACTCTTTGGTTCTTTCCGTAAAGTCACGGAGAAAGAAAAATATGTTTTGTTCATTGATAAAAAAAAATCTTTCCACGTGACTTTACCGAAAGAACCAAAGAATAATTCCTGCAGGCACAAAAGCTCCAAATCAAGTTCGTAACCAATTGCCACGTTTTGTTCACGTGACAAAATTCGATTCACCCGCTCGTTAAGAACTTGCTGCGACGGCAGATCGATGAATCACTTCTAGCGCTCGTCTCGCGTCCACCCCCTGAACCCCGCCTCCACCACGCGGCCTGCGGCAGACGTGGACGAGTGCGAGCTGATCAAGTCGAAGCCGGACGCGCGCCTCTGCATGCACGAGTGCATCAACACGGCCGGCTCGTACCGCTGCGCGTGCCCCGCGGGCTACCGACTGCAGGCGGACGAGAGAAGCTGCGAGGGTGAGTGGGGCCCAGCCAGCACCTCTGACACCCCTTGCCGTCACGTCAAACCCTCCGCCCCCACCTCCCCCAACAAAAACAAAGATCCCCCCGTGTGGACTATTAACAGACTGTAGGGGCAAGTGCCATTAGCGAGTAGCAACTACGAAGGACGGCGCGGCACACGAGGGGGTGGGTGACCCAGCAACCACGCCCGGCCGCCTTTGTCTCCCCAGTGGCGATGTTTACTACACACAGCGCACCAGGTGCTCATTTGAGGTTGAGTTGACCTAGGGGAGGTCCAGGACCGATTCAGATAATCGTCAGCGGTGTTGGTGGCCGTGAGCGGGAATCGAACTCGGGCGGCCGGGTTCGTAGCGCAGCGTAGTGCTAACCACTACACCCACCGCTCCCCCGCCGCCCCCCGCCCCCCGCCTTCTCCTGTTCCGGAAAATTAGACGCACCCAATCTTGTGCCCGGTGTCATTAATGTTACACAGAAGCGGCAACGACACGAATGTTGGCACGTGGCACCAGGGCGTGTCCCGGTGTCTTCTCGGGCCCGGGCAGGAGACCCGCGCCTGAGTCTGACGAGAGCTTCAGGAGGGTCTCTGCATTGGGATGTTTGTCCAAACTCGTTGGTGCAAATGAAGACCTGATCTCATGCGACGGGGTAACACCTAAAAGCTCCGCGCGGATGCATTTAAGAATCTCTCGATGTACTGCCATCTCCTGGTCAGCGCGCAGTGCCACTACTACACCAGCTGGAATTCCCAGGCGCAAACCAGGCTCATCTCCGCTGAGCTTCTGAGAGCTTCGGGGTGAGTTGGTCGTCGTGAGTCCACGTGGTCCTGGTCCGTCTATCGTGCCACGTGTCTTTGTCTCCCCCTGCCCCCCCCCCCCCCGTGCAGACGTGGACGAGTGCACTGCTGAGCGGCACAACTGCTCGGGCTCCGCACGCTGCGTGAACCTGCGTGGGGGATTCCGCTGCGTGAACCCCGAGTGCCCGAAGTCGAACGGAGACGTGAGCTACGTGAAGACATCCCCACTGTGAGTGCGGCGCAGTCGCTTGGTCAGTCGTGCTCATGGCCGGTCTGATGGTCTGTCTGATGCTCGGTCTGATGGTCTGTCTGATGGTCTGGTGGTCTGTCTGATGGTATGGTGGTCGGTCTGATGCTCGGTCTGATGATCTGATGGTCTGTCTGATGGTCTGGTGGTCGGCCTGATGCTCGGTCTGATGGTCTGTTTGATGGTCTGGTGGTCTGTCTGATGGTATGGTGGTCGGCCTGATGCTCGGTCTGATGGTCTGTCCGATGGTCGTTCTCATGGTCGGTCTGATGGTCTGGTGGTCGGTCGGTCAGCCTCATGGTCCGTCAGTCAGTCGGATGATTTTTTTTTCTGATGGTTGGTAAGTCAGTCTTTAGGTTGGTCTGATGGTTAGGTCGTCGGTCTGTTGGGTAGTTAGTTGGTTTGTCAGTAAGTCAGTCATTCGGCGAGTTAGTCAAATTTGGCAGTCGGTCGGTCAATCGTTACCCTGTGAGTGTCATGCAGAGGGTTGGTTAGTTGGTCATTCAGTGAAGCGGTGGTCGATCCGTCTCGACTGTGAGCGCGTCGAAGTCTCTCCATCCATCAGTCAGGCAGTCTTGCGGATAACACAGATACATAAACTGCACGGACGAAGGAAAATATCCCCCATGTAGCCCTTAACCAGCTGTTGGGGAAAGTGCTGGGAGTGAGCACCCATGAAGGCCGGCACGGTTGCTAGCACCATACGCGGCCGCCTTTGTCTCCCGAGTGATGATGTTTATACACAATGCACCAAGCACTAAGTTTAGCCCCAGTCAAACCTAGGGAGAGGTCTAGGACCTGGACAGATAATCAGAATAATGACCTCTGATGTTGACCTTCACCGGGGGAGGGAGTTATTGAGTTCACGCCAGCTACGACGCTACCGCTCCCCACGCACACACAAATATCCGGCGGGGACACAGGCGCGCGCCAGTGGAGTGCGTCACAGGCCTCGTAGCCGCTGCGTTTCTGAACTGTTGTTGTTGTTGGGGTGGTTTTTTGTTTGTTTTTACGGCAGTGTTTGTCTTAGCTGCAACAGCTTCACGAGTGAGTGCGGTTTGCCGTATACCGACTCACACGGTGCTTCGTACAAAAAAGACAAAGATCCCCCGTATAGCCTTAACAGACTGTAGGGGCAAGTGCTGTTAGCGAGCACCTATGAAGGCCGGAACGGTACACGAGGGGGTGGGTGGCCAGCACCACGCCCCACCGCCTTTGACTCCCCAGTGGCGGTGATTATACGCCGCACCGGGTACTCATTTGAGGCTGAGTCGACCTAGGGGAGACCCAGGACCGGTTCAGATAATCGTCACTGGTGTTGGTCGTGAGCGGGAATCGAACCCGGGTTGCTGGGCTCATAGCGCAGCGTAGCGCTAACCGCTACACTCCCGCTCCCGGCACGCACACGCACACACACGCACGCGCGCACACAACATTGAAGGAATTCTCGCCCCAGCTACGCTAACGCGTGCACGCGTGTTGGCAGAACGAAATCGCATTGCCCGTAAAATAACAGCGGACTCAGTTGTTTATCCAGGAAGGCCACACTTGAGCTGTGGGGGAAAAACAAAAATTTGACCGAGGTTCCTGCAATTGGGGTTTTGTTTATTTACAAGATGTTTTCAGCCAATTAATGAGTTGTTTGCACAAGTGGGAGGAAACCCGATAAAGCCCACGCGTGCGATGGGAGACATTGATATCCGCCGTACGGATGGAAACAGATGGCGTTTGGCCCACTTGCTGCACTGCCTCGACATCCGCGGGAACATGTGGGTATGTTGAACTTCTTTCGCACCGTACGTAGCCAACCGTGCTAATCGGAGGTGTGCTGGGGACGGACAACAAACGGAACACAAAAAGCATCCGTAAAGAAATTAGTTCTCAACGTAGAAAATTAGTTTTGAATTTAGAAGGGAGTTTCACAACATTTGAGCCGTGATCCACTCACTGGTATACAGGAGGTCGTGGGGTTCGTTCCCGACCCTGACGATGTCTGTATGTTTGGAGTTTGCGTGCGTGTTCTGCCCCGTGGCGGCGTAGATCTTTATCCGTGTCCTCCGATGTTTCTCTCCACCTTTAGAATCAACGTCACGCGTTTCGAGTATTTGGTTGCTAGAAAATTCAACGCGATAAGCCACTTCATTGAGCTATCGATTGTAGCCAAGTCGCTTCTGAAAAAGGAGCCATACAGGTCAGTGGGCCTTACCTGGTAAAACAAACAATTGCTTATAATTAACATAGTTTAGTTCACGTACATCATAACCACCTTATAAGAGCGGCTCTGCATTTACGTTGACTGGGACGGGCAAAGCAACCAAAAAGCGCGCGTCGCTGTGAAACAAGACGAGAGTTATGAGCGGCGATAGTGCCGCATGCTTGTTCGTTTTCGTCTTCGGCTTCTTCTTCTTAAAATCACGCTCGCGGAAAACGACGACGTCGTCGCCTCTCCGATTTGAGAGTCCACAGAGAGAGGGAGAGAGAGAGAGGCACCACGGCGCGCGAATCGTACGCAACGCTCGGGATCGAGACACGAGGAAGCGCTCATTGCCTCTCTTTAAACCCACCCCCTCCCCGCAACATTTTGCCGTGAAGTCTGGCAAACACTGGAGGCCAGATTGTGAGCTCATCCCTGGGCCCCTGCGGAGCAATGTCGGTGACTTATGGCTCGTCCCAGGCCTGCACAGCGAAGGTCACGTGTGACGCCAGTGCCTCGACCACGTGCCCGTAGCCGAGAGGGGCGGGATGTGGTTACAATGAGCGCGGCTCCTCTCTCTCTCTCTCCTCTCTCGCTCCGCGTGCTCGACTTTAGTTGCACGCGCGTGCGCGGGTCGACTCATCGTTAAATTGGTACCCCGGTGTGGTGTGCGAAAACGTTAGTGTTGGGGAGACAAAGGCGGCTGGGCGTGTTGCTGCCCCCCGCCAACCGCTCTCCCTCGTGTGCCGTCCGGCCTTCATCATCGCTGCTCGCTAACAGCACTTGCCCACAGCGGCTTGTTAAAGGCTTGCACGGGCGATCTTTGTCGCACGTGACGCTGCGATTGTTGACTGCGGCCACGTGCTGTGGTCACGTGCTGCGGTCACGTGCTGCGGTCACGTGCTGCGGTTCCATTGTGACGCTGCACGCGGCTCATTCGAGCGGTAGTTGCTGTAGGTGCTCGCTAACAGCACTTGTCCCACCAGACTGTTGAGGATATACTGTGGGGGGTAGACCTTTGTCTTTGTATGTATGCAACGAACGTGTGCGCATGCCGTATTGTGTGTTTCTCCCTGTGTGCTTGCGTGCAAATGTGCCCGGTGTGTTGTGTTTTCCGCGCGCGCGCGTGTGTGTGTGCGTGCGTGCGTTCTGTCTGCGTGTATGGTTGCCTTTTTGGAAGGAAGCTCCTTCCTTCTTGAATCGATCTGCTAATGGCAACAAAAACATCTCGGACCGACCGAATGCCCCACCCCTCCTCCCCACCCGTTTGTAACATAACGTGTGTTCTTACGTCCCTACGTATTCGTGAGTGCGTGTGTATGCACGTGTGAGATCGTGTGTATGCACGTGCACTGCTATTGTGTTCGTGCGCTCTGCCCCGCGTGAATCTCTTCGACTTGTGCGCTTACGCACGTGTCTATGACGACTATCGTGAACCGGTCCTGAGCCACCCCTAGGTCGACTGAGCCTCAAATGAGTACCTGGTATGAGGTGTAAACATTACGTTAAGGCTATAGGGGGCGGTTTATTTGTGCTTGTGTATGTCTACGTGTGCTCACGCGTTTGTACATTCGTGTGTGCGCCCCTTCTCCTACACAAACTATGCCACACCCCCCCACCATCTCCCTGCCCCCCCTCCTCCTCAAACCCACCCACCCACGCACGTGGCGCAGTCACTGCGAGCGCAACCCGTGCCCGATGGACAGCCGCAGCTGCCACCAGGCGCCCAAGACCATCTCGCACCACTACCTGGCCCTGCCCAGCAACCTGAGCACCCCGGCCACGCTGTTCCGCATGGGCTCCGCAGCGCCCCTGGGCAGCCGCGCCGCCAGCGACAGCCTCCGCTTCGGCATCGTCGGCGGCGCCGGCGGCCACCGAGGGTCACTTCATGGTGCAGCGCTCGGACCGGCAGACGGGGGTCCTCATCCTCGTGAGTCCCCTGCGCGGACCCCGGTCCCTCGAGCTGGAGCTGGAGATGGCAGAGTTCGCCGACAAATCCCTGCTCGCCAAGCACGTGTCCCGCGTCACCGTGCTCGTGTCGGCTTACGACTTCTAGGCCCCGTCGGACCTCCTCCGCCCCCCCCCCTCACCCCCCACCGCTTTGCTGCGATATTTCTTGCTGCCGTTGTTGATGTTTGTTGCTGTTGTTGTTGTTGTTGTTTATAGCAGCGCGGCTCCGGTTTTGTACGAGGCTCCTCTTTCAGAGTTCTGACTCCCCCCTCCCCCTTCCACCAACCGTACAACCGAGACTCGTCGAGGGGGCCGCGAAGAGCGAGGGAGGCCCCGCGGTGTGAGGGGAGTGGGGGGGGGAGTGGGAGGTGGGGGGGGTGGGAGGAGTGGGGGGGGGTGTCACCGCTGCAGAATTCGAACCGCGCCGTCGACGTCGCACGCACAAATGAGCGAGTTGAGACATCACGTGGAGATGACGCGGCGAGAGCGTTGCCCGCGCGGCGTCACGGCCGATGTATGTCGTGCACGACGAACGCGTCGTTAGCCCTGGCCCTACTTCGGCCCCCGAGTCGGATGTCTTTTTTGAGACCTCGCGTATCATGGTTTGGTTCCAGCTGGGCACGGCAAACGGCCAATGGAAAACCGCCCGCACCACGAGTGCCCTCTGCGCTGGCGCGGCTCGGTTGAGCCAGTGGGAAAGGGCTGAGATCGTGTGTTGTGTTTCCGTTGGACAGCCAACTGGGGTCGACTCAAGTCGGCCTGAGTTGGCCTCATTTACGTCCCAGATTTCCAGCGGAGTGACAACTCGCATCGGCTGAAAATGTAGCAATTCAACAATTTTTCCGAGTTGCTAGAGTTACCACGCGAGGTGGGCAGGTCTCTAGCCCTAAAATACAATTTTCTAAGACGCATTCGCGAGTCAGTGGCCAAGACCGCATTGCTGACAACATTTAATGTCAAATTTAAATATAAAATGTAATAATTTATCCGACTCCAAAGGTCTTTTTTTTTAAACATACATGGTGACGCATTTACTCGCGGCAGCCCGAACTCTTACGGAGGGAATTTAAGCCAGCCCGTGAAGTGAGTTGGGCCCCTTTAAAATGCGGACCGCAGCAAAAATTTGCGGACAATTCGAGTTGACAAGATACATTACGTACAGAAACAAACGGCTGCGATGGGAACTCGAGTTCAAACCCGATGCACGTGGCACATGAAAACTACATGTGTGCATTTGGGCAGGGTCGGCGGGTTAATGCCGACCGGGGGAATACCCTCCAGCCAAGTTCACGCTTTGGAGTGGAAGTGGGAAGACAGGTTTAGCAGTGTCGGGTGACGCGTGTAAGTGGAGTAATTGACCACCACGCGTTAAATGACCACCACGCGCACGCGTCACCCGAGACTGGAGTGTAGTGGAGGCACGAGCCGTGAACACTGTCAGTGAGAGGAGCTGGGGAGGAGCGGAACGGGAATTCTCTCTCTGACTCTGGTCCACTACAAAAATAAAATTAATGAAAGTAAAATAAAAAAAATCACGACATTTCGGAGGCAACACAAGCTTCCGTCTTCAGGTGGAACCGTCACAGCACGATAGCTGGTCCACTACAGTCCGCCTTTCCATCTTCACCAATGTTCTCGAACATAAATTCAGTCTTACACGCTACCCGCGCCCGATGGTTATTCAACACACCCCCACGTGACGTACAGAGTGCCGGTTCAGCTGAAGATTGAGATCGTGTGTGTGTGTTTTCGACGTCACGCAGAGGCGAATCGATGGAATATTATCTGAGATTGTTGACCAATCATCAGGCGCGTGTAGCGCATGACGACTGCATTTGTAATTCAAAATAAATAAGCAAGACAACAAGCTGCGAGTGTCTGATTATTCGTCAACAAGTTTGTATATCTCCCTTTGAGCCTCTTCTCTGCGGGGCAGAGAGGAGGTAGAAGCTTCTCGCAGCCGCGACAAACTCTGTCTCCTCGCTTATTGCAAGACGGCATCGGCAGTGAAACTTCACGGCTCTGCATCCATTGCCCTCCACTCGACTCTTCACGCCCGCCACGATCGACGTTTGCCAATCCAAAGCAACACGTTGCACGCGTGTATGGAACTTCTTTCGCACCGTACGTAGCCAAACCGTGCTCATCGAGGGTGCAGGGGAAGGACAACGAACTCAGCACGAAAAGCAGTTATACACGTATGTATAGATGTATGCATGTTGAACTGCTTTCGCGCAAGAAGTTCAACATACGTACGTTGGCGCACTAATAACTGTCAAATCATCGTCATTATCATCCTGTCTCCTGAATCTCTTGATTAGCTGGGATCAGCTAAAACAGAGGCCAATAAATTATGCGAGGTTTTAGGGTTTTCTGAGACGCTCACAGCACCGCGCCGTGAGACACGCGACGATTCAACCTGAGCTGGGCCACCCGATTATTATTATTATTAAAGTCATCAATCGCTCCGTGTAACGATAATGACTTTAGATTGTAACGAGCCGCACGGCATCCTCTCACTCTGGGAGAGAGGACGACTCGAAAGGCGCGAGGAGGAGGAGGAGCAGCAGCCACGCGGTCAACCGCCACCAGTCTCCCCAAGTTCTGCCGTCCTCTATATATTTTTCAAGTGTTATCGGTCGATGAATGCGTGTTTACATGATAGAGTACAATTAGTCTACGGTTAGAATTACGCGACTGATGGGAAGACACGATAACAGTTGTAAAGAGAGAGAAACAAAAACGTTTCACCTCTGTTCCCACGTGTGCCGCTGGACGGGAGGTGATGGGCGGGGTTTAGTGATGGAAACGGCATCCATCGGCTGCGTCACGCTGGCTGTGGCTTCGCGAGGCAGAATGTGGGAGGGGGTGGGAGGGGGTGGAGGGGGGCGACTGCTGATATAAAATAGTCCGAGTAATCGACCGCAAGATAAGTTTTGTCGATGAATCGACGAATCGTCCCAGTTCGAAATTGAGCCCTCAAGCCCCACCTCCAGCCCCAACGATTCGAATAATATTCACGATCCGGGTCGCGATTCAAATAGCCAGTGTTTTTGTTGTTGTTGTTGCTGTTTTTTGTTGTTCTTGTTGTTATTGTTGTTGTTGTCTCGTTTAGCCATCTCGTTTGTATCGTTTCGCGGTCACGTCTCACTTGTACAGTTCCGTACGTTCCACGAAGCACCGAACGTCACGTCAGCGTAATAATTACAATCGATTGGCACGGAACGCCAACAATCCATCCTTTCTCGCACACTTTGACGCGTAAAATGATCGCCAATTTTCTTCATCTGATTCATCGATACGTCGCCCCATTTCTGCTTGCAAATTCATTGGCACCCGCGCCGGTCCACAACAACGCTCGCAGGGCCGAGGGACAGATACGGACGGATGGAGGAGCCGAGAACCCACAATGTGTAGGGTCCGAGGCTTGTTGAGGCTGGGAGGAAGACGGGAGGCCGTAACCACCCACTGCGGCCGTCGTGCCCTCGCTGCGTTCCAACTCGAATTATAAAGCCACTACGACATCGACGGCCGTTCCTTTAAGGTTAAAGGCATTCGTTGTGGCTGTCCGGGAGTTGGACTTTGTATCGAGACATTATTGGGTAAGGCAAGACAGGATTCCTTCTCCAACCGAAGGTAATTTAATCTCCGGGTAGTTGTTGTTGTTGTATCATTGAACGTCTCGAGAGATTTAATGTGCTATGGTTGGAGAAGCGTCTGCCTTCTTGGTGAGATCTTTCCCTCCACGTAACAGTCCGGATGTTAAAGGTAAGAGGGTGCAGCTCCATTGCTAGCAGAAGGACCCCGAGTACATGTGTGGATCGTCACATCGCAGACCTGTGCCAGACGTCGTCGACTACTTGGCGAGGCCTGCATCCAGCAGTGGATTGATCGTGGATGATGATTGATGATAATGATGATTCGGAACGGGAGAGGGATGTTTGGTCGCTTGGTGGTTTTTTTTGGCGGTGGGATGACACCTTGGAGTCCGACTCAAGACGCTGGCACGGGACTGCTGCTGCGCCCGTCGCGTTTCCCGTGACGCTCGCTTGCAACCGGGGCGGCCTGAACGCGCCCCGAACTCGTTGGCTCTCGGAAGCTAAAGCAGCGTTGAGTCCGCTTCATATTTTAGGCGATCGGCCAGTTGTGTCGGGAGGCGGGGAGGCTGCGAGCGAGGTGCGGCGAGGAGGTGGCAGCGCTGAGTGCCACCCACCTGGTATGCGTGGTGCGGTGTTTTTCTCCGGGGTTTCTGGCTTGCACCTGCCCCAATCGTGAAGCCTAACACGCCTTAGTGGAATGGGCCAAAAGTCCCAGTGTGGCACCCACCCTCCATGAAACTGAAGGCTCGGCGAGGCATCGACGGTTAAATGTTTGGCACTGCGATTCGTGAGTTGTCGCTTTGTCACGGGCTATGACCAAGGCCACACGGCGTTTTTTCACCTTCCGCTGTCCAACCGCCGTTCAAAGAAAATAAAAAAATATATAAAAAAACGAGTTGGCAAGCCCATGTTACTTTCATTTACAAATGTTGGGGTCAAATGTGTCAAATGTGTTTCATGCAATGGGCGATGTCGCACGCGCAACTGCCCGAGTTGAGACGGCACGTGGAGATGACGCGTTGAGTTATGAGCTACCCGTCGGAGGCCGTTGGACTGCGAGAAGGGCTGCGTGCAGAACGAGAGAGAGAGCGAGAGAGCGAGCGAGAGAGTGAGCGAGAGAGTGAGCGAGAGAGTGACCGAGAGAGTGAGCGAGAGAGTGAGCGAGTGAGTGACCGAGAGAGTGACCGAGAGAGTGAGCGAGAGAGTGACCGAGAGAGTGAGCGAGAGAGTGAGCGAGAGGTGGGGGTTTACATAAAGCAAAGTTGAAAAAAAAAAAGACGAAATGATGAACGAAGCAAAGTGCCGACTACACCGAGCATCTTCTTGTTTCCACTGATCGTAAAAAAAAAGAGAGCGTTGCCCGCGCGGCGTACCGGCCGATGTCGTGCACGATGGACGCGTCGTTAGCCCTGGCCCTACTTCAGCCCCCGAGTCGGATGTCTTTCTTTGAGACCGGCGTATCGCGGTTCGGTTCCAGTTCGGCACGGCAACACGGCCAATGGAAAAGCCGCCCGCACCAAAAAAAAAAATTGCGTCTTCATCAGCAAGGTGACATTACACATCACCGTTTGTTTTTCTTCCATCTGCCGTGTTTGCTAAAATGAGTAAAATTCGTTCACTTTCCTTCATCGATCCACTACCGGCTGAATCCCTTTCCCGCGCCATACGTCACCACCGCCGGTCAGGTGCGGCGGTGGTGACGGACGCGCAGAGAAAGGCAGCTGCGCTCAAAGGTCTGGACAGACGGGTTAATGGGCGTGAATGACGAACTGAACTCCTTCGAGGCGACGCTATTTTGACGATGCCTCGTGTTGTTGTTCTTCATCTTCTCCTCCTCCTCGAGTCTCCGGGCGCTCGCTCGGCGCTGCTTCCTCCGGGAACAATTTTGGACCGGAGCTATAAACACAGGCAGCTCGGGACCAGCTCAACTGCGGGGATTTATGGGGTCCAGATGTCCGATTCGAGGGCTTTAACCTTGACTGGGGCAGGTGCTAACGCACACGCGCTCTCACCCACACACGCGCTCACGCAGACGCGCGCAAGCGTGTGCACACACGCTCACTCACTCACACGCGCACGCACTTACACACACGCTCACTCACTCACACGCACTTACACACACGCTCACTCACTCGCACGCGCACGCACTTACACACAAGCTCACTCACTCACACGCATTTACACACACGCTCACTCACTCACACGCGCACGCACTTACACACAAGCTCACTCACTCACACGCACTTACACACACGCTCACTCACTCACACGCGCACGCACTTACACACACGCTCACTCACTCACACGTACGCACGTACACACAGGCTGGTGGGGCATTACAGTGTAGTGGTTAGCGCATTGCGCTACAAACCGGGCCAGCTGAGCTCGATTTTCTCTTACAGCCAACACGGGCCGAGAACTATCTGAACCGTTCCTGGGCTTCCCCTCGGTCGACTCAACCTCAAGCGAGTACCTGGTGCGATGCGTAAACGAGGCCACTCGGGAGACAAAGGCGGCCGGGCTTGGCGTTGGTCACACCACCCGCTCGTGTGCCGTTCCCGTTCACGAGGTGCTCGCTCACAGCGCTTGCCCCAAACAGTCTGCTGAGACCCTAATGAGCGAACTCCGTTGCCCTTGTAAGTTGCGGCGGTGGTTAGCAGACTGGGCCACGCACTCGGCGAACGTGGGTTGAACTCTCATTGCAGACTGACATCAGTGGGGAGGGGGATATTAGAACTTGTCATAATGTTCCTCTAGGTTGACTCGGCCATAAATTAGTCCCCTCCCCCCAACAAATAAAAACCGTACCAGGATTTCCCCGAGTGCCGGTGCTTGCGCGTGACGCATGACTATTATTACTACTACCGTGCCCCGTTCCACACCGCACGCACCTGATGATTGGTAAACTGACACAAGGCGGGCGACGGACCGCGGTGGCTTGCGAGAACGTGTGTTTGTAAGCGTCTTCTCTGGATGGAGTACATATGGACACGCGTGCAGATGTGAACAAAACACATTCCTGCGGAGGGAGCTGGTAGGAACGTTGGGTTGCACGGTCAATAGCCAGGGTCAGTCAATGGCGGCGTGGGGTATTCCGCAAATATGTCCGAATGTGAGGGCGGGCACAAGCCGGCGTGAGTAGGTTAAACGTTGAGTTTTATAAGAGCACCACGGGGTGACCAGCCCCTCCCCTCCCCACCCAGCCCCACACTTCCCACCCCCACCCAGCCCCTCCCCACCCTCCCCACCCAGCCCCTCCCCACCCAGCCCCTCCCACTCCATCCAGTCCCTCCCTGCACGATGGACGGGCGGACACAACAATCCCCTGTGGGCTGGTGGAACCAGTGGGTTCCTACCAGTAAAATGTGTCCCGTGTAGAGGCTACACAAGCTGCTGGGGCAAGTGCTGTTTGCGAGCACCACATTAGCTGCTACATCACAATTGTGCACTGTGTAGGGGCACTGGGAAGATCTACCACCAGAAATGCACTCCGGGTATCAGATTGTTTATGCAGCCTGGAAGAATCCGATGAGCTATGAAGCTATTTTTCACAGATGCCCAGTAGGGGCGGGTCAGACAATTATAACAACACACAAGATATAAAAAAGACACGACAGGGGATGAATCACATTAAGCTCAATCTCAGCACTGGAGCATCTGAGCGCTGAGCTCAGAGACAAGGAAAAAAAATACAGCACGTGCATGGGGTCCATTCCTACACATTGGGACAGTCTTAAATACCTGAGCCCAGAATGGCAATGACCTGGCCCACCCACGGCCCCTCCTTCAAAGAAAGTCTGCCCTTCCCCGCCTGCTCGAATGAGTCCGGAGTGCCTGACACCGTCGATGCGACTGGTAACGCCGTCCAGAACGTCACGATGCTGCAATGTACGATGCGAGGGAGGATGTGGAATGAAACATTTTTTTTATCTAAAAAAAAATAAACACGACGGGAGTGCGAAGTATGGGAAAGCTAAGCAAATCACTAAATATAAATAAATCAAGTATATAAATACAAATCACGTACCATCACCGCCACTACCCCTCCATCCCGCTTTCAATGTAAACCCAAACACGATGGAACTGCGGGGAAACGCTCGCCAACAACAGCTCGCTATGAAATGAAGGCGGGGGGTGGTGGTGGGGTGGTGGGGGGGGGTGGTGGTGGGGGGGTGGTGGGGGGTGGTGGTGGGGGGGGGGCCGCGGAGTAAACGTTGAGAGCATTCCGCGCGTGCGTTCGTCAAGAACCAGGCACGCGGCGACA